GATCTTTGTTGTTCAGACTGCCATTAAACGATCAGATCCAGGTCGCATATGGGCTGAAAAATCGGATTTGGGTCACTTCAGGCTGCAGTGTGAACTTAGCCTTAAAGACTCATACGAGTCAACCTGAGGAAGCCTACAGGCAGCTATTACAAGCCCTTGCAGTTTTTTTTATCACCATCGAGTTGGAGTTATAACTATTATCATACTGCTGCTTCAACAAACCCACTCTCATGGCTCATGGCACAACTACAACCAGAACTTATACACTCACCGGCCACTTTATTAGGGACACCTGTCCAACTGCTAGTTAACTTTTAATTTCTAAGCAGCCAATCACATGGCAGCAACTCAGTGCATTTAGGCATGTAGACATGGTCAAGACAATCTCCTGCAGTTCAAACCGAGCATCAGTATGGGGAAGAAAGGTGATTTGAGTGACTTTGAACGTGGCATGATTGTTGGTGCCAGAAGGGCTGGTCTGACTATTTCAGAAACTGCTGATCTACTAGGATTTTCACGCTCAACCATCTCTAGGGTTTACAGAGAATGGTCCGAAAAAGAAAAAAACATCCAGTGAGCAGCAGTTCTGTGGGCGGAAATGCCTTGTTGATGCCAGAGGTCAGAGGAGAATGGCCAGACTGGTTCGAGCTGATAGAAGGGCAACAGTGACTCAAATAACCACCCGTTACAACCAAGGTGGGCAGAAGAGCATCTCTGAACGCACAGTACGTCGAACTTTGAGGCAGATGGGCTACAGCAGCAGAAGACCACACCGGGTGCCACTCCTTTCAGCTAAGAACAGGAAACTGAGGCTACAATTTGCACAAGCTCATTGAAATTGGACAATAGAAGATTGGAAAAACGTTGCCTGGTCTGATGAGTCTCGATTTCTGCTGCGACATTCGGATGGTAGGGTCAGAATTTGGCTTCTACAACATGAAAGCATGGATCCATCCTGCCTTGTATCAACGGTTCAGGCTGGTGGTAGTGGTGTCATGGTGTAGGGAATATTTTCTTGGCACTCTGGGCCCCTTGGTACCAATTGAGCATCGTTGCAATGCCACAGCCTACCTAAGTATTGTTGCTGACCATGTCCATCCCTTTATGACCACAATGTACCCAACTTCTGATGGCTACTTTCAGCAGGATAATGCACCATGTCATAAAGCTGGAATCATCTCAGACTGGTTTCTTGAACATGACAATGAGTTCACTCGACTCAAATGGCCTCCACAGTCACCAGATCTCAATCCAATAGAGCATCTTTGGGATGTGGTGGAACGGGAGATTCGCATCATGGATGTGCAGCTGACAAATCTGCGGCAACTGTGTAATGCCATCATGTCAATATGGACCAAACACCTGAGGAATGCTTCCAGCACCTTGTTGAATCTATGCCACAAAGAATTGAGGCAGTTCTGAAGGCAAAAGGGGGTCCAACCCGTTACTAGCATGGGGTACCTAATAAAGTGGCCGGTGAGTGTATGGTGGAGAGTTTGGGCAGAGGAGCAGGAGGGGCTTCATAATCTCTAAGTTGCAGAAGGAGTGCAGTTTGGATTTCCAGCTCAAATCAGTCTATCAGACAAAGCATTGACCAGGGCTGCCAACAAGCTTGCATTCATCTGCCGTGTATGATACACACATAGACAAAAGTGTTAGTACACCCAATTTAATGAAAGAAAAAACCCACAGTGGACCGAGAAATAATCATCAGTTTGACAAAAGTTTTAATAAATTTTAAAATATCTATGAAAATGAGGAAATGAAAGTTACTCTACAACCGTGCTGTAAAAGAACGATTCAAATAGAAATAAACTCAACAAACAAGTTTCATTAATTGCTTTATTTTTTTCTTTGGAGTCTTTCTAGGAGACAGCAGAAATACTCTGATGACTGCAGTCATTGTGTTTATTTAGGAGATGGACATGAAACTGAGTACAGGGAGCAGGTGAAACAACTTGCGTATGGGTACGGTTCTGGGTTGGTCTCAGTTTTCTAAGGAGTCAGTCAGACAGACATCAGTGTTTTTACACTGATTAAATCTAATGGAAGCAGTCTGGGCTGACAAAGCAATCTGCCTGCAAGGGTTGAGATCATCTACATTTTATTAATTGCAGAAGATGTTCCAGCTGCAGGAATGTCTCATATGTTTTTACTCCATACTATTTGAAGTTACAGCAACAGCTTTCAAATTTGCTCTCATTAACTAATGTCATGTTGGGAAAGCTGCCAAAAGATCTTTTAAGGTTTTCCGCTAGCTTCCATGATTCAATTACCCTGAAAACTCTTTAAAAGCAATGTTATTTGATCTCTTTATAACCTTGTTTTTTTTAGATCAATCCTTAAAAAATTGGCTCCTGTGTGTTGGTGTGTTATTCTGCTGTAAAAGACTTCTCGGGTCTTGCTGACAAAATATGTATAAATGCAAAGCAGAGGCAAGGTGGTCTTGTGGGTTCTCATTAGGAAATAGAATAAATTAACCTTGTTGTTCCCTAGATGAGGCATAAGGTAAAATACCAGCTATTAGGTGCGTTTCCATCTGCTTTTTCTGATATGTATTTTGAAGTATCACATCAGAAACGTGGAAATGGCAATATAAAAATAAACACAAAAAATTGTTTTTAAGCTCACCTGTGGTGGTTTTTGGCGAAGGTTAATGCTCAAAACGGAAGATGGAAACAGTTTTCTTCGAATCAGCTCTGATGTAGTGAACTTTTACCTGACATAATGGATCAGCTGTTTCTGCTGTCGGTGAGTTGTTTTCGTCAACGATGACATCACAAAATTGTTTTGTTGATGCTCCTTTTCTTCATAACGATAACAAGAACTGAGGAGTTAAAGGTGGATCGTTGTTGACAAAAACTTGAGAGTTATTGGTGTGAGTTTTAATCAGCGAGACGAGACAAAAAAAAATAAGCTGGTGGTCGGTCAGATGTTTAAACTGCATCATTTTGCTGTAATCTCTTAGACAAGCTAAGCAGTATTAGCCGTGCTGCTACGTCCTGTTTGATCATGCAGCCCACCTGGTGTGCAACGCTACACATTCTGCATGACCACAGATGATCATGGCAGCAGCGGCGGGGTGAAAATAGTCCAGAATGATCCGGTTCTGTTCGCTCAACTCTGACAAACTGTTCTTCCATCCGTGCTTGTGGAGAAATGCATCTTTGCATCAGAGTCTCTTTTTTTGCAACATAAAACTGACTAAAACTAGACAAAAATCTCTTTTAGTCTAGTTTTAGTTGATTAAAGCTGACTAAAACTATCACACATAGTAATGACTAAAATAAATAAAATAAGACTAATAATAGTTTTTGCCCTGAAGGCTAAGACTAAATCTAAGATGGTTGTCAAAAGTAACACTGATTTCTGGGTGTTCCTATTATGTGCCTAAATTTGACTGGAAGCAATATCGCCATTGCAAATTAATATGTTAACATAAGAACAACTCTCCTCAGGGTTCCCGCGGGTCCTTAAAAAGTCTTAAAAGGCATTGAATTCTTCAAAATAAATCTAAGGCCTTAATTGGTATTAAAATGTCTTAAATTAGTCTTTCGTAGGTCTTTTTTTTTAAAACATCATAAATAGGATAATTTTTATTATGATTTATTTTTGAAATCTAAATAAAACATTAAAATTGAAAACATTTTTTTTTATTTAAAAAAAAAATAACGGCTCGCCTTTATTGGTTCCGTCCTGATAGTGGAACCATTGAAAGTGTTGCGGCCGGAACATTTGGGAGATGCGCCATTAACTTTTTGTCTGGAAAATATGAGCAAGTGTAAATGTAACGAAAATTGGCTCCAGCCAAGAGTTTTCTGCATGGCTAAAACCAGGGAACATACATGAGGCTCAGTGGATTTTATGCAAGAAGTCATTCAAGCTCGGAAGGATGGGAATTAAGGCAGTGGAGTCACACATGCGAAGCACGAAACATAAAGCGTCAAAATCGAGTTACAGAGAAACAGCCAGTAAATCAAACCAAACATACTAAGAAAACGATACAAAGAAAAATAGCTGCAAAAAAGACTTAGCACTGGTTATGTTGTGGCTTTAAAACTGATTTGTTTTGTTCCCTGCTTAAACAAAGTTTGTAAATTCAGTTAAATAATTGTTCAAATATATCTGTCATTTGTGTGTTTTTAGCTTTCTTCCTGTATGGGAAGCTTTTCAAAGTTTGAAACATTAGTGCAGTGGTTTATGTTAAAATAAACCTTTGGGTTAAGTTGTCGCAAGCAGGTTTTTCTTGTGTTTCTTGTGAATTTGGTCTTAAATTTTTATTTCAAGTGGCATTAAGAAGTCTTAAAAAGGAACCCAACTCCTGATATCAACACTTTTATTAAAACTTTCCTCCATTACTGATCTACGGACAGATTGCAGCCTCTACTTCCTGCTTATTTTAGCCTTGGGTGAGGAAATACTGCTGACGAAGACATAACTTTGTCTTGATTAGTTAATTCCCTTTTAATCAAATATTTTCAGATACTTTTTTTTTTATTTTATTTTAAAACTTTTATTAAAATTCTCTTTTCAGTTGGGTGGAAACACGGCTACTGTGACATCTGTAGAGGCTTTTTAAAAGTGGAAGTAGTTTGACGCTTTAACATGTATAGAAACACAAGCAAGCTTTTCTTTCTAAAGGAGCCATAAATTGTTTCCCTTCAGATTTTTTATATTGTTTCTTCAGCTGGCTCTAGTCTATAAAACCCACATGGAATGAATTGGAGATTGGCAAAAGCTATTGCTGAAATAAAAAAAAGGTACAAGAATCTGTGGAGTATTTATTCCTAACTCAACTTCTTTGTTGTTAATAGATAAGAATGGCTGTAGAGATGAAAATGTTGCCTAAACATTAATAGGACTAGCGCATAAAAAGTTTAATGGACTAAACTCCTGATTTGTGAAACATTTAAAAGGACTATTATATTTCTGCCAAAATACCATCATAATGCCTAAAGTACTCTGTGTTTCTCAGCTGGATGAACTTTTCTTTTCTGCAGTCATCATCACGCTCTCTGGTTCTTGATATTGGAGAGGACCGGCTGGTGCTAACAGCTCGGCCATCGCTCTACAACCTCGACATCTTCCACCCTTTCTTCATTGACCAGGAAAATAGTGTGGCGCAGTACAATAACAGCACTCAGGTATATTAAGGAAACATCTGGAGAAAGGGAAACCCTCTCTGGCATGGTTTAAACAGCTGCATTAACAAAGTTTTCTGTTTGTGGTGATCATGTTTAAAGGCTCCATGGTTAAGCTCAAGGGTGGTTTCCTACAGGAGCCAGCAGTGATGAATGCCCTGTAGAACTGTAAATACTGCTGAGTAAACTGAGTACATACTAGCAGCAGGACGGCATACTTTTTGATAAAAACACTGTATGCCACCAGAGTGAGTTCGTGGCAAATAACCTGGTTATGTAACTTTTTTTCCAGACGGGTGGGATGGGATGTTGCTAACCTGTATTAATAAATACCTTTTTTATATCAGCTCGAAGAATCAGCCCTAACATTTTGGCATCACATATCAGGGAGTGGTTTGGCTTATTTCAGAATAATCAATATAAAACAAGAAACACCAACTTGCCTAAATATATTAAGAAAAGTTACAAAAGTGCGTCTAAGAAATTAATGAAAAACACTCTGAGAGTGAAATAATTACATTTTTTTGGTACAGCTTAACCTTAGAGGCATAACGCTGATACTGGCTCATTGTTTAGTTTCTAAATCTAAATATAATTGTTAACTAGGCTTACTAACTTTTTAACTTTACATATTAGCTTTTCAATGAGCTTTTTACCTTTTTTTTCTTCACTTGTTAACTTTTTTTTCCAACTTAATTTACAGTAGGGTATATATCATTCAAGGGCTCATCTAATTGGTCAAATGCCAAAATATGATGTACAGCCATGTAGCAGCATCTTTGCTGAATGGCTGGATATAGATCTTGTGCTTCTAGACCTCTCTGAGGGACGGGGGGACTTCATTTGTAAAGGGGCATGAAACGTATAAAAAAAATTGTAACTTGCCCTATAAAGGGTTAAAACCTGTTACCTATAATTATCTTATGTTTAAAGTGTTTGCTCTTTGCGCCTGTCATGTAATTTAACTTTTTTCTCTCTCTAATGTAGAACAATTTCATTGTCTTGCCTCTGAAATGTGGAATATAAATAAGCTTGCTTTGCCTTAAAATCACCATCAATACCCTATACAAGACGACACAGATTACAGATACAGATTAGCAGACCAGGGTCCGGATGCGGACCCACCTGCTGGCTAATCCGGACCCAACCTGATTTGAAACATTTATAAAATACTAAATGTTGTCTGACGGCAGTGTCTAATTTCACTCGCGCTGCTTCTCCTGTTAATATGGTAAAGCACTCTGGAGCGTCCGGCACCAGGTTGCACCAATTATCAAATGAACTGCTGTCAGTCTGGGTTGCTGCTGCTGCTACTTTTAGACACAGCATGGCTATCACTGCCCCTACATAGTTAGCATGGCTATCACTGTCCCTACATAGTTAGCATGGCTATCACTGCCCCTACATAGTTAGCATGGCTATCACTGTCCCTACATAGTTAGCATGGCTATCACTGCCCCTACATTGTTAGCATGGCTATCACTGCCCCCACATAGTTAGCATGGCTATCACTGCCCCTACATAGTTAGCATGGCTATCACTGTCCCTACATAGTTAGCATGGGTATCACTGTCCCTACATAGTTAGCATGGCTATCACTGTCCCTACATAGTTAGCATGGCTATCACTGCCCCTACATAGTTAGCATGGCTATCACTGCCCCTACATAGTTAGCATGGCTATCACTGCCCCTTCCTAGTTAGCATGGCTATCACAGCCCCTACTTAGTTAGCATGGCTATCACTGCCCCTTCCTAGTTATCATGGCTATCACTGCCCCTACGTAGTTAGCATGGCTATCACTGCCCTTTCCTAGTTAGCATGGCTATCACAGCCCCTACTTAGTTAGCATGGCTATCACTGCCCCTTCCTAGTTATCATGGCTATCACTGCCCCTACGTAGTTAGCATGGCTATCACTGCCCCTTCCTAGTTAGCATGGCTATCACTGCCCCTTCCTAGTTAGCATGGCTATCACTGCCCCTACGTAGTTAGCATGGCTATCACTGCCCCTTCCTAGTTAGCATGGCTATCACTGCCCCTACAGATTTAGGGACTCATTTCCCACTGTAATCAGCTTCATAGTCATGGTAGGACACTTCTTTGATTTTACTTTGGAGAATTTTTTGGCAATCAATATATTAAGATTTGGAGCAAAACATAATTGCAAATGAATATCTGAATCTTTTAGAGCAATTATTTGTTTATTCAGATCCAATTAATTAAATTGAAACGGCTGAAATAATTTTCAAAATCTGAAAAAAAAAAACAGCTAACAAATTCAAATACATTAGAATTAGCCTGAAGATGAAATAATCTTGTATAAAATATAATTTTACTCTTACTTCAAATATTCATTTAGAGTATTTTATTAAATAGACTTTATCAGAAAATCAGTATTGCATTTATGGGCTAATTTAAAGTAAGCTAGGCTACATGCTGGCAATGAATGAGTTAAAACTATTCTAACTAACTATCTAAACTATCTATCTATCTAACTAACTATCTATTCTATCTAAACTAACAGGTCCATGGAACCGAAGCTATTTACTAATGATTGGACAACAGGCATCATCAAAACACCTTATAGTGCATTTTAGGACAGCCAATAGCGGCCTTTCTTGCTAGCCAGTTGGCAACACTGGTGAAGGGATGAGGGAAGCAGAGAAGAGAAGCTTTTGAAGAAAAATTCTAAATTTTGACAAGAAAAAGTGTTTAAATATATGAACAAAACTTTTAATTAAATTGAAATGGGTTTTAGAGCTCAAAAAGTTTGCGTTCTCCGCACATCCCATACTGCCGAGTTCTTTCTATATTGTGGCATTTTGAAACAACTTTGTCAAGAAAAGCCAGCACCATTGCAGCCAAACAGGCAACTAGGATGATATTTCATAATTGGGATATTAAAAAAATATAATAACTAAAATATCTTGATTAAAATTCCGGATGTGTTATACTTTAAATGACAAATCAGATAAAGTCATTTGATATATCTCTAAATGCATTTTCACTTTCCAAAATGTGATTAAAGACATCTTGTATTGTTATTTTTCCCTAGACATAATATAAAACTATAAAACATCATTAATGGCAGTCAACATTTAGTGAATAATGTTTGTGTATTCTATGAAAATTTCTGCATCTCTATATTGGGTCTGTATTATGAGTTTTCTTATCAATTCAGAGGGCCCCATACCTGTCATTTCATAGGGCCCCAAATTTCCTAAATCGGCCCCTGCTTCGATTCTCTCCTCCAGGTTCCCTCTGTTGTGACGAGAATTACCTCCCTCTCGCGGGAGCGTGCATCACCCTAAACTCACGCTCATTGATGAGAAAACGCATTGAAATATTAACGAAAAGGAAAATTTTAAACACATTCTTAATGTTTTCATATTTCTTATACATGGATGCCTTAAAATTGATAGTTTTGATTGAAAGATAAATTCAAATTAATAGAATTTTACTTTTACCATTTTAGATTTTTCTTCATTTGTTAAATTTAGAAGCTGGAGACTGCGGAAGATTCCCTCCCCTCCTTATTTTCACATTACCTCGAATCGCGTTGTCTGATGCTGCTGTGATGCTGTTCAGAACAGCGCAGGCTGTGCGCTACTCGTTAGCGTAACCTGCCAAATGTTGAAAGGGCAATATTATTTCCATTACTGTTAATATATAATATAAATGTTTAGGGCTGGGTATTGTTCAAAAATTTTCGGTTCCGGTACCAATACCAGTACCAATACCAATACCGATACCTTCACTTCGATACCGGTTCCTGAACGATACTTACACAACATAAAAAAGTACAAATCTTGAGTTTTATTTTAAGCTCTGATTTTTCCATTTACATTTTTCCTCTTACATAAAAAAAAATGTCAGTGTCTAATATTCACTGTTACATTGTGAGGACCTTTTTACTAAGCAGTTTTCCTTTAGAAAAATTACCATGTCTGACAAACAAGCCCGTTGAATGGGATCCTACTGACAGCGCACCGCTGGTATGTGGGGGTCTGAGCGGCTCCGACAGAAATATTGGAAGGCAGGATGAACTGACTGCACTGATTAAGTTTTCAGGTGGATTTTCCCACTTAAAAACATAATAAAACTACTTTATTCCCACTGATCACAGCAAATATAGCTGCAAGGCAAATAAAGGATAGAGTAGCTCCACCCAACGCGCGTCAGAGCCACTTTTTGACCGCGCAGCCAGAGCAGCAAAGCTGCTCCAGCCGCGCGTCAGAAGCTGGTACAAGCAGCAAAAAAGGAAGCAGCAGACGTGATTTTGCTGCTCCTGCTGTGTCCGGTTTGAAAGCAGCATGATTCACTCCGCTCTGGCTTTGCTCCGCCCACGGGCTGCTGAGAGGAGGATGGTCGCGCCGGCTGCTGTCCGCTCTTCTTGCAGTCAAACACCGAGCAACTTTCTGCTCTTAAATTGTTTCCATGCACGATGTATTGCATTGCGCACTATTGGCATCAGTCTTAATAAAGTGAAGCCACACTTTTGACCTGGGGGACATTTTAAAGGGGTTCCACGACGCTCGCAACCAGTTCACAACAGATACACTGGCTGTAGGCGTGACCACCTGTGTATTTTTCCTGGATGACGCAATCACGTTAAGTGTTACAGCCAATCACCGAAACTTGGTACCGAAAGACGAGGCATGTTTAGTTACTCTGTAGAACCGAAGCATTTCGGTCGGTACCATAAAAGAACCGAAGTTCGGTACCCAGCCCTATAAATGTTAACATTCAGTGAAAGAATGTCACAGGGGAGTGGAGGGGGGGATTTTTAAGATTTTTTTTGAGAAGGGGAATGCCAATCCCCCCTCAATTCGAGGACTGCTTGTAATTCTCGCTGCATGACATGTTGTTTTTCCAGCAAAAATGGGAAACTGTGAGGGCAGCTTCGGCTCTGAAGTCGTGTACTATGGAAAAACTTACTTCTTCTGTTGTTTGTTCCAGATTCTCACCGTCACTATGCCTGTGGTCTCACCAGCTTCATGAAGCTACTGAAGAACCTATTTGTTTTTGTCATAAATTTGAGAAATAAACTTGCTGTTGTTAAAATCTTCGTTGTGTCTGAGTACATAATCTAAAACCAACACTGGCTCCTCACAAAGCCTTATAAAATTATTTCTTTAGCGGTCTAACATGTACTGGCACTGTTAAAAAGCCCTGATATCATCAAGGTAAACGTTTGATGTTCTTATGCAATCCAGAAGTCTGGGACTGACATCAAACAAAAAATTATAAACCTCAACATTTACAGTTATTTTATATGATGAGAAACTATGTCATCTGGTTGGATCACATAACCATGGAGGTTTAAAAGAAAAGAGAGATTCTGGTTTTTTCACCAAACAGTCAACCTTGCTTGACTGACTTATTTCTGAATCCTTCAGAATTTCTGTTGTTGAGCTGAAGAGAACAAAATGAGACTCCAGACTTTAGGGCATTCTAGGGATCATGCAAAGACAAATGAGTCTCTTTTTCTGTATGCCCCAACCCTCTAAACATTTTAACCAAAGATAAATCCTTTTTTGTTTGCAAAAGAATTGAATATACAAATTACTGATACCCAGGAGCAGATCTACAGGGGGGAAGGGTCCACCATGGCACCAATCCCTTCTCATATTATCTCTTTCCTTTCTTTATTGATTCTTCTGCTGCTTGTGTGATTACATTACCAACAATAAATTTAGATAATTTACATCCATTCAATTAAGTTTAATTTCTATAGCGCAAATTCACAACATCTCATCTCACTTTATGATCTGGTTGAACTGTTAAGAGCTTTGAGATGACTTGTAATGTGAATTGGCGCTATAAAAATAAACTGAATTGAATTGAATTAAAGGCACTTTGCAGTTCACCAGATCATACAGTCAAATTGATTAAAAGTTTTCTTTCTAAGGAAAACCAGTTAATTGCATCGACTTGTAAAGCGGGGGAGAGGAAAAAATCCCTTTAAACAGGAAGAAACCTCCAGCAGAACCAGGCTCAGTGTGAGCGGCCATCTGCTGAGGCCGACTGGGGTTCAAGGAGACAGAAGCAGAGATACAAAAAGCAGCTGTAAGCGGCGGCCCCGTCCAGGAAACACACAGCCAGCCATCCGAGCCAGCTCCCATGTCAGAGGATGAAGAGAGCACATCCAGCCAGTCACGGTCAGATAAACAGGACTACACTGGAAAACAGGCCGATCTCCAACACCTATAAACAAGGGTGTTGATGGCAGCAGCACAGCCATTGTTTTGTCTACTTTTTCTGTTTGTTTTTTACTTAAATATTTAAGTTTCTCCCAGTCTGCCTGATTTAACATTTTAACAACTTAACATTTAAATTAACCCCTAATCTTATTATAACTGGATAATGATCACTACTATTGTGTTTTTATTTATATCCCACTCACATAAACCTGCTAAAGAATTTGACACTCATGTTAAATCAATTACTGAATCTGCTCCGTTTCTGGAATTAATGCTTGAGCCTCTTCCACATTGATACATACCAAATCTTTTATTTCCATGAGCTCTGTGACCTGTCAGTTTTTATCATTACATTTTCCCAAACAGAGCTATTAGCATTAAAGTCTCCACACCAAACTACCTTTCCCTCCAGATATCCCAACTCCTCCATCATTTCAACTGATAATGTTTTACATGGATTATAAAAATGTGAAATTTTTCACTTTCCTTCTTTTCCTTAAATGTCAACCACTAAAAACTATGTTTTCCTTTTACTAACATTTGATATAAGGCCAAGTTGATGGCAGCAGCACAGCTTATATTTCTCTCCAGGATGGTGTAACAGCCAAACAGAAACAGATGAGGAGAAGCTGCTCTGAGAAAAGCAGAGAGAGCAGAACGTTAGAGATTGAACTATCAAATACTGCAAAATGGGGGAATAGAGATAGAATAAAGCAGAATGATCAAAAAGGGTCCCTACGTCCTCCAGCAGTCTAAGCCTATAGCAGCATAACTATAGAGATAGATCAGGATAACCTGAGCCACCCTAACTATAAGCTTTATCAAAAAGGGGAAGTTTTAAGCCTAGCCTTTAAAGTAGACAGGGTGTCTGCCTCACGGACTAAAACTGGTAGTTGGTTCCACAGGAGAGGAGCCTGATAACTAAAAGATCTGCCTCCCATTCTACTTTTAGAAATTCTAGGAACCACTAGTAAACCTGCAGATTGAGAGCGAATTGCTCTGTTAGGAATATAATAACCTTTCTCTGATATAACATAGAGCTTGGACAATTACGACTTAATATGTGAGAAGGAGGATTTTGAATCCTGGATTTTACAGGAAGCCAATGAAGAGAAGCCAGGATAGGAGAGATATGATCTCTCTTTCTAATTTCCATACTTTCAAAGTTACATGATAATAATCCTTGAGTTTGAATGCAATGGGTGCGTAAGGATGTTATACAGGAGAAAATGTTAAATAAAACTGTCAAAAATGAGGAAAAAGAAAAATAGGCAAATAAATAAATCAAAAACTATTTAATTTGCCAGGAACATATTTGGTTTTAACTGCTTTTTGGTTTTCAAGTTCTTCTATTGTGATGTGTTTTTTTTTTTTTTTTCTTTTCCCCTCTGAATTAAACCAGGTCTTCAATGGAAGGTCATGCAATTGTTTCCATAAAAGCTGATTGGCTGCTTGGTGAGGCATTTTCAGATCAATCCTCAAAGCTAGCCTGCCCTGAATTCCATTTAAAGGATGCTACTATGATTGGCCTCCTTAAGTAGGAATCCAGGTTTGTGGTACCAATTCAGGGTTAATCCTGAAGTTTGGTTCACTAACCCAGTAATCCTGCCTTGCGGTTCGGGCCTAAGGGTGGAAAACCCCACCACAGCCAGCCTGTACTCTGTTTATTAGAGGAAAACATCCTATTCCAACACTGCATGGCTGCACCAGATCGTATGAGGGGCACAGCCTATCAGGAAACAAGACACTGTTACTCAATAAATACTGTTTGACTGTCCTCTGACAGCATTAAAATAATGAAAGCCTGCAGGCACTTAACAACTGACAGGGGGATCATAACGAGAAAACAAAACAAGAAGTGATGACAAAAAAAAAGCTCTCCTCAGAGGTTATTGGTTTAAAAAGAGAAACAGATTTCAAAAAAAGGAATTTACTAGCTGAACCACAACTGAAGTCTCTTCATTTGGCAATAACTGTGCAGCTGTCCTATTTAGACTCCAAGCAGCTGTAGTTTGCTTTAAAACTTTGGTCTGAATGATTTCCAGAATGTGAGACCCCTGCCTTGATGTCTTTAAGTGGTTTTGACCAATAGCTAAGAAGGATTAACAACAATCTATATTGAAATGTCTTTGGATTTAAACTCCTTTTAATTGAGCCATTGTGCCTTGAGCATCTTCAGAGAGATGTTCACCTAGGATTAATATCAACAATTCAAAAATAAACAAATGCATGAATTAAAATGACAGCTGTTGTATCTCCAAATAACAGGAAATCTGTAAAATATTTTTTTGATGCAATTTTTCATCCATGCATGTCTGACTAATTGCAGTTAGTTGGGCAGCTGTAACAACCAAAATGCACTATTAAAGCTCCATTTACAGGCTGAAACTTGTTTTGTGTTTTATTTTCATTTATTAAAAAGTGCCAACCCTATAACTAATAACACAAAGGGTTTCTAAACTCTCCCTTAAATCTCAATAAGTGCATTTGTTCTTGAATTGAGGAGATAAAAGAGACATTTTGGAACAAGACAATTTAGATTTAAAATAAGAAAACACAACTGCATTCTCTTATTTCAAGTGAATACTATCTAATTATCTTATTTTAAGAGTAAAAATACTGATTCCATTGGCAAACTATCTCATTTACCTACTCAAAATAAGGGGAAATACACTTCATTTAAGAAATTTTTGCTTATTTCTCGATAGTTTTTCCAGTGATAGATAAAGAAACGCACCCAATGTCACCACCCTTCCCCCCTCCTTACATTTCATGGCTGCCAGCTTTCCCTCCTTCCATCCATCACCCCCCCACCCCCTTCCTTTCATCCCCTCTCCACATGCCCTGCGGCACCCCTCCATTTGTCCAGTGAGGTCATCCCTGTGTTCTCCCTAATCCTCAGAGGTGCTCGTCTTTCTGCCTCTGCTTAATCCGCCTGTGGCCCCCAGCCCTGACCACATACACACCCATGCATGCACACACACACATCTGCAAACATGTGCACAGACTCACAGTTATTCTTGTATTGTATTCTCAGACCCACAGTAATCCCACTGCACGCATGCACACATTGTTATTCACTCAGTTATATATATTTATACACACACACATAATGCTGCTCCCACCTCTTGGTATAAAATCTATCCGTCTTGTCCACTGGATGCACTCTGTGTGTCCCTGTCCATCTGTGTGTCTCCTGCGTGTGTTTTCAGCACCCTTCTAAACAGGTAGGTCTATCTTTAATTACATTACATATCCTAATTTAATTACATACATTTTATAAACATAAAACTAAGAATTTAACCAATGACGGTTCTAGAAATTGTCACATAAGGGGCAAAGGAGGTGTTATTTTTATTTACAAAATGGATATAAAACATCCAAAATAGTATATTTTTATTTAATTTCCCTTTTGGATGTTGAAAACGTTTTGAGTTTAATTAAATGTAAATGTGCAAAAACCAATTGACAGACATTTACCAAGAAAAATGAAGGAACAAATGATAACAACATACAAATTCATAAAGACGACTAAAATGACCCAGCAGTTTAGCTTCCAAATGTTGGACATCTTAAGGCAGCTACTGGGACTCTGACAAAAAGAACCTATAACTTTGGTTTGTTGCTTTACTATAGTCAGGATAGCTCGATTAGGCTAATCAAAGCTCATCTGTCCCAGTTTAAATAAGTTTTATATCTAGTTATATCTTTCTGTACATTTAAATACTTTGTAATTTATTTTACTTTGTCCATAGAAAACTCTTGAAGACTTTTGGCCCAATAAGTGATTAGTAATTACAAGTAATTCAAGGACATAAAGGTACATTTGCTCCACTGTAGATCTTCCCTTGTAGATCTTCCCTTGTAGATCCATCCCTATAGATCCACCCCTGTAGATCCATCCCTATAGATCCACCGCTGTAGATTCACCCCTGTAGATTCACCCCTGTAGATCCACCCCTGTAGATCCACCCCTGTAGATCCACCCCTGTAGATCCATCCCTATAGATCCACCGCTGTAGATTCACCCCTGTAGATTCACCCCTGTAGATCCACCCCTGTAGATCCACCCCTGTAGATCCATCCCTATAGATCCATCCCTGTAGATCCACCCCTGTAGATCCACCCCTGTAGATCCTCCCCTGTAGATCCACCCCTGTAGATCCATCACTGTAGATCCACCCCTGTAGATCCACCCCTGTAGATCCATCCCTATAGATCCATCCCTGTAGATCCACCCCTGTAGATCCACCCCTGTAGATCCTCCCCTGTAGATCCACCCCTGTAGATCCATCACTGTAGATTCAACCCTGTAGATCCATCCCTATAGATCCACCGCTGTAGATTCACCCCTGTAGATTCACCCCTGTAGATCCACCCCTGTAGATCCACCCCTGTAGATCCATCCCTATAGATCCACCGCTGTAGATTCACCCCTGTAGATTCACCCCTGTAGATCCACCCCTGTAGATCCACCCCTGTAGATCCATCCCTATAGATCCATCCCTGTAGATCCACCCCTGTAGATCCACCCCTGTAGATCCTCCCCTGTAGATCCACCCCTGTAGCTCCATCACTGTAGATTCAACCCTGTAGATCCATCACTGTAGATCGGCCCCTGTAGATCCACTCCTGTAGATCTACACTTGTAGATCCTCCCCTGTAGATCCATACCTATAGATCCACCCCTGTAGATCCACCCCTGCAGCTCCTCCCCTGTAGATCCACCCCTGCAGATCCTCCCCTGTAGATCCATCCCTATAGATCCACCCCTGTAGATCCACCCCTGCAGATCCTCCCCTGTAGATCCATCACTGTAGATTCAACCCTGTAGATCCACCCCTGCAGATCCTCCCCTGTAGATCCATACCTATAGATCCACCCCTGCAGATCCTCCCCTGTAGATCCATCACTGTAGATCCGCCCCTGTAGATCCACCCCTGTAGATCCATACCTATAGATCCACCCCTGCAGATCCTCCCCTGTAGATCCACCCCTGTAGATCCATACCTATAGATCCACCCCTGCAGATCCTCCCCTGCAGATCCTCCTCTGTAGATCCATCACTGTAGATCCGCCCCTGTAGATCCACCCCTGTAGATCCACCCCTGCAGATCCTCCTCTGTAGATCCATCACTGTAGATCCGCCCCTGTAGATCCACCCCTGTAGATTCACCCCTGTAGATCCACCCCTGTAGATTCACCCCAGTAGATCCGCACCTGTAGATCCACACCTGTAGATGTACTGTACCCCTGTAGATCCACCCCTGCAGATCCTCCCCTGTAGATCCATACCTATAGATCCACCCCTGCAGATCCTCCCCTGTAGATCCATCACTGTAGATTCACCCCTGTAGATCCACCCCTGCAGATCCTCCCCTGTAGATCCGCACCTGTAGATCCACCCCTGCAGATCCTCCCCTGTAGATCCACCCCTGTAGATCCTCCCCTGTAGATCCACCCCTGTAGATCCACCCCTGCAGATCCTCCCCTGTAGATCCATCACTGTAGATCCGCCCCTGTAGATCCACCCCTGTAGATCCATACCTATAGATCCTCCCCTGTAGATCCAACCCTGTAGATCCACCCCTGCAGATCCTCCCCTGTAGATCCATCACTGTAGATCCGCCCCTGAAGTTCCACCCCTGTAGATCCATACCTATAGATCCACCCCTGCAGATCCTCCCCTGTAGATCCACCCCTGTAGATCCATACCTATAGATCCACCCCTGCAGATCCTCCCCTGTAGATCCACCCCTGTAGATCCACCCCTGCAGATCCTCCCCTGTAGATCCATACCTATAGATCCACCCCTGCAGATCCTCCCCTGTAGATCCATCACTGTAGAACCGCCCCTGTAGATCCACCCCTGTAGATTCACCCCTGTAGATCCACCCCTGTAGATCCGCACCTGTAGATCCACCCCTGTAGATCCACCCCTGTAGATCCACCCCTGTAGATTCGCACCTGTAGATCCACACCTGTAGATGTACTGTACCCCTGTAGATCTACCCCTGTAAATCCATCCCTATAGATCCACCCTTGTAGACCCACCCCTATAGATCCCCCCCTATAGATCCACCCCATGTTGTAGTTCAATAAAACTGAAAAGAATTTATTTCACTTAATTTTTCTGCATGGTGAATCATTTTCAAATCATAATATTGTACAAAAACAGAATTTAATGGTGTATGGTTAAAAAGAGCACAGCCATGAATCAAGTGTTGATGAATAATTTTAGCCTCTGAGTAAAAAGAAAACTGTGAGGCTTTGGAAAGACAACACGTACAGATGAACCCAGTGACCGAGGAAAATATGACACTCTTTTTTCCTTCATAGAAACCGTTATGGGAAAGACAAACAGGCTACTGTATGTTTTCGGATGTGTTAAATTTCAGTGTAATTTCAATTCAAAGACATCCGTTGATTTGTGAAGTGGTAATTAAACTGTTAACTGTCCAGATTTACAGCCTCATGCTGTCCACCATCATCCATCCATCCATCTTCTAACACACTTAATCCTAAATGGGGTCGCGAGTGCTGCTACCTGCATACCCTGGACAGGTCGCCAGTCCATCACAGGCTGTCCACCATCATGGCGGCTTTATATGGCGGGCTAGAGCCCTAAGGGTTAAAGAACACAAGCTGATTTAATTCATGCTATTTCAGGTGTTTTGGAGGATTTTAAGGTGACGAGTTAACATCTCAAACATATCTTTTATTTACTCATATGCTAGGCTAATGCTAGCATGTTATCCTATGTTTTAATACGCATGTAGGAATGTATTTCAATGCAAGTTTAGTAAGTTGGCTAAAACCGTCCATCCATCCATCCATTTTCTTACACGCTTAATCCCAAGTGGGGTCGCGAGGGGTGCTGGTGCCTATCTCCAGCTGTCTACGGGCGAGAGGCGGGGTCCACCCTGGACAGGGCACCAGTCCATCGCAAGGCAACACAGAGACAAACAGGACAAACAACCATTCACACACACACACTTACACCTAAGGAGAATTTAGAGCGGCCAATTAAGCTGACAGGTCATGTTTTTGGACTGTGGGAGGAAGCCGGAGTACCTAGAGAGAACCCATGCATGCAGAAAGAATTTATTACTTTAACCACTTTCTATGCAGCTCTAACGGAGACTGCTTTACATATTTATGATCTACTAAAGACGCTTCACACAGGCAGAACAGAATTTGAAGCCTTTATGCAAAACTTGGATTTATTAGGTTAATCAGTTCATCCCGCCCCGCGGGGATCGAGCCGGCAGGATATCCTTTGATGATTAAAACTAATGATATCATTGATCATCAAAAAGTCAAAAGATGTCCAACTACCTAAAGAAAATAAGATGTTACGTTCTCATGCTACTGACATTCCATTTAAAATATGAACTGTAATGATTATATCTACTATAATTCATATAATTCCACCTTTTTTCGTATTTTGCTAATCAAAAGTAGGTGATTTATGGGTGTCCACTATGCAGAATGGTCTAGTTCAGATATTTTAACTGATAACTTTATGTGCTGCAAAATGCTGCAGTGTGTTTGAGGATAACATCAGTTGCTGGAATGTTCCAGAATTCACAATCCATGAAGGAAAGAGGCAGAGAAAATAATCACAAAAGTAAATAAGCTAAACTTTAAAAGTTTGGCACATGACGGAAAAGAACAATGACCAAAGAGAATCTAGAAGAAACTCTGCTTTTAAGTAAGCGCAATTTTATGCAAATTAATCTTTATAAAACGGAGTCTTGTTTTCTTATAGTGCAAATGATAACTAATCATTTGTTTTTTACCATTTGTCAGGAATTATTTTGATATTTCTCAATAAAAACTATTTAATCCTTCCCAACTTGATCTTAATCTTTGAGAGTTACTAACATTTCCAAAGGACACAAGTTAGTAAAGGTTAAAAAACTCAAATAAAAGATTAAAGGATCTGCATCAGAATAGAAGCAATTCTTCCTTTAACAATGTGAACCAGTTTGCAGTTGCATCACTGTGTTCTCTGTGACCATTACATTATTCCAACAGTAGGTTTTAAAGGTTAGAAACTTTAATCTGTCAATCCTGAAACTTTAAAATGTTCAAAACAAAAAAACCTGCATCCCGTACATTTGATGATTTTTGCCCAATTTCTTTCCTAATTTCCCCCTCACACACCTATTGCCTCTTGAAATGGCCATATAATAAACAAATCACTTCCTAAATCTAAAAACTG